GAAGAAACCTGGTGCTGATGTCTCTGTGATCGAAAATTACAGGCCTATCTCTACCCTGCCCTTTACATCTAAACTGCTTGAGAAAGTCGTTTATCAGCAGCTGGTCTCACATTTAGCTGACTCTGATCTGTTTGAGGTTTTCCAATCAGGGTTCAGGTCTGGCCATAGCACAGAGTCTGCTCTACTGAGGGTCCTAAATGACATCTATCTATCACTAGATCACGGAACATCTGTGCTGCTTCTGTTATTAGACCTGACAGCAGCCTTCAACACAGTTGACCACGCGATTCTACTCGATCGCTTGGAACGATGGGTTGGGATCAAAGGGTCAGCTCTGGACTGGTTTAGATCGTATCTCCAAAACAGGACATTCTGTGTTAAACTGGGTGATGTTTTTTCTTCTTGGGAGGGGCTCCGCTGGGGGGTCCCGCAGGGGTCGATCCTTGGTCCACTTTTGTTTTCCATTTATCTGCTACCTCTGGGGTCAATCTTTCGTAAACATGGCCTATCATTCCATCTGTATGCTGACGATTGCCAGATTTACTCTCCATTGTGTCAGGAGAAAGGTCACTCTATTCAGTCCTTTGTCTCCTGTGTTAATGAGGTGAAGTCTTGGCTAATGTCCAACTATCTACATCTGAATGAGGGAAAGACAGAGCTCATTGTTTTTCACCCCAACAGCAGGAATGTGGATCGTTATGCTGATCTTGGCCCTCTTTCTCCGTACTCAAAACCAGTTGTTACCAGTTTGGGGGTGAAACTTGATGTAGGACTTAAATTTGATGCTCACATCAATTCTGTGATCCGGTCCAGTTTCTTTCACCTGAGACGCCTTGCAAAAATCAAGCATATGCTGTCGAGAGCCCACCTGGAGCAGGTACTGCATGCCTTTGTAATTTCTCGGCTTGACTACTGCAACTCTCTACATGCAGGGTTGTGTCAGTCAACACTGCGTCGCCTACAGGTTGTGCAGAACAGCGCTGCCAGGTTCCTGACTGGGACCAGGAAACGGGACCACAACAGTCCAGTTCTGGCCTTCCTGCACTGGCTTCCGATTTCCTATCGCTCACAATTCAAAATACTCGTCTTTGTTCATCATTTCTTCCAGGGTGGTGCTCCCCCCCTATCTAGCCACTCTCCTGAACAGACACTCCCCATCACGCGCTCTGCGCTCCTCTGCCCAAGGCCTGCTCGCTGTCCCTCGGTCTAGGTGTCGTACCCGTGGGGACCGGGCTTTCTCAGTCCTAGCACCGTTACTCTGGAACCAGTTGCCACCCTCAGTTAGGCTGTCCCCTTCTCTGCCAGTCTTTAAGAATCACCTAAAAACACACCTCCTCCGCTTGGCGTTTCCAGAACATGTTTGATTATGGCCCTCTATTATGTTGAATCCATTCCACAGTTTTCATTGGTACACTCAATCCATCCACTCAATCCAATTGTGTTTCACACATTTGTATTTTACCGGAATGTTTCATCTATCTTGTAATTTCCATTTTGTATTTTGTATTTTGTAATTTGAATTTCTTTTATTGTTGATTTATTCAGTATAATTACTTACAACTGAACCATATTCAGCGCTTTGGGCTTCCTGACAGGGTTGCGGAAGGCGCTTTATAAATAAAGCTTTGATTGATTGATTGATTGATTGACTTGGCTCCTCCGAGACGGAGCCGGCTCTGATCGGTCCCTCCAAGAGCTACTCACTACTTTACAATGCTCCCACTGACCTCCACAAACAGGACTAAAAGGCCACACAGTAGAACATACTTCATTTGTTTAGCTCAATTTGGTACCAGATCGCAGGACCCTATCAGCCCAGTGTTCATCAGACGTTCCACCTGTCACAGAATGGCATCCATCCAACTAAACACAGTTAAATCTACATCCACTAGATTTAACCCAAACCCTGACCATCTGACTAGAACACAACCGCTATGGCAGCAGCCTCGGATCAGTTCACACAGCCTGCTTTCCTGTTTGACATGCATGTTCCTAACGTGTCAGTGATTTTAAAATGTCAGGGTGTTGTCACTAAAGTAGGTCAGGCATCACAGATAGTTAACTCTGTAGTGAGATTTCTGACAGCTCACTGTCACCGAGTCATGACAGGGAGATAAAGAGTCGCTGAAAGGGCCTGTTAGAGACCAGCTTGCTTTGTAGTGACTCAGGGTTGGACACCGAGTCAGGGACACAAGGTAAGTCCAATAGGACTGCAAATGAATCAAACCTGATACCAAATGGGGACACAGTGTGGAAAATCCAGATAATAAATTACATACAAGGTTAATGTCTTTAATTTACTGAAGTCACTTCTTCATTATTGGAATCATATTATTGATCTGTGTTTATGTGAATTAAAATCAAGTAAATACAGTTTTGTGTTGGTGATAAATAAACACGAGGCGCTAGAGCAGAAAGATTCACAGATTATTCTGAGAACATCTCATCAGACCAATTCATCATAAAATCAAATCCGAGCCACCGATATGCCCAGTAAATAAATCAAAGGAACACAGCAGCAGTTTAAAGGACTTAGTCGACTTAAAACCTTAAATGATCGGGGGGAAAAAGACGAAAAACAATATTTGCATCTTTCCCCAACAAAGCACTTGCCCGCAGGCTGCAGGTTTACTTTAGTGGAACACACACAAGACACAGTCTATGAGCACCAAATGTAATCTGATGATCTGAGATGATGATTCGAGATAACTGTCAAATCTGAACTGATAGGCTGCTTAAACATCCAATATGTTGATTTTTGATGGCAACCAAACTCTGAGGTACATTTTCCCATTTTATTGCATCAGCGTGGTCTTGCGGTTTATTTGTGGGTTTTACAGGATGGTGAGTTTGATGTGCTACTGCTCTGACTTGTGCTGATTAATGTATGTCATTCCAGAAGCCTCAGCCAGATAAAGTTCTTGCTGAAATTTACAGGCGTACACAAACAATGAAAACTTTCTAAAATACCAAAAGCACTTTAGTCTTTAGGTTGAGGTTGGAAATTTTCAACGCCAAGCAGTTTGATCATCTGCCCAGTACTTCTTTTGGGCCCTGTAGAGGGGTAGATTTAGTTGCTTTTAAGCTTAATATATTACCTTTACTTATATGACCAATAAGATGTGTTACTCTATATAAATATAGAATATCAACCTGCTTGGTCTTATGATGTTTAATCAGAAGATTCTAGGATTCTTTGCTTTTTCAGGGATCAAACACACTTCGTATCAGTTCAGACAGTCAGGTTCATAAAAGGCAAGAAATTTATTTTCTAAACAAATTAAAAACAAGACAACTAGGGAACACTTTATGTGATGACTGGATCTAAAGTGAGGTGTGATTATGTGTGAATGTGATGTTATCAGAACCTTCATACTTAGAAGAAAATGAGTTCTGTGTATTAAAAGAATTTGGTCTGCAGTAACTAGAAGGTTGATTTTCATCAAAACCACATCAGACGCAATTCATGCTGCGTCTATCTCACCCTTTCTTTGGAGACCCTCTTCGCGGATCCGGAGGTCGGACGAACTCTGGGCGCCGAGGTTCAATAGATTAATCGCAGCACTGACGCTCCAGTCCAGAGATGTCACCCGAGTCTCACAACAGATAGATGAAATTGTTTGCGTCTAGAAGGTCTCTTAGGGAGTCGGAACTGTATCAGCTTTGTTCTGCGGGAACCGTTTTGCTGTGTCAGCTGTAGGCAGCTTTTAGCTTGCCGAAAGCTTGTCAAGAGATGCGGTGTGAGCAGTTTCCCTCCGATGGCCAGTCAGAGTTAGCTCAACTAACAGGATGCTGAATCTCACAGAATGCTGAGTCACTCAGAAGCAATTCTGTTTTAATATTCTCATATTATGATTTACTTGGCCAATCGGGACGTGCCATGTTAAGAGGTGTTAACAAACAAACCTCAGAACATCACGCCCTCTCAGATACATGATGCTCTGATTTGTGGGTAAGAAAACATCTATGTGCAGAAATTACTTTAACTTTATCTCTAATGAACATTGTGTCTGAGTGTAGATAATGACTCACTTGTTAAATCAAACATTACTGATCATAACATCAAAATGTTTCATTGTAATAATAAAATTTATTTCAACTACAGTAATTTAAGCACAGATTAATCAAAACATTTAATTAGTATTCATTTAACATTTGTTCATTCAACCATATTATTATTTAATGATTGTTTAAATTATGAGTTGTAAAAGTTCCTTTTTCATGAGAGTGAGCAATTCTGCAGTGTTATCAAAAGAAGGCTTCCTTTGGGAACACAGGCTGACATCTTGTTCCTCCTGAAATGTCAACAAGGTTTGCAGAACCTTGTGGCTTGTTGGAAGGTAGAATGTAAAATCCACCTTAGAGGGTGGGATTAGGTCTGTAGATGACCGGTGGCATGAAGGTCAATCTGTAGGTGAAAACTGACCATTCCTGAACGTTACAGCCCTTTTGCTTTCACAAAAAATAAAATAGATCTTTTGACAATATCAGATATTTTCAAGTTTCACCTGTAAATTTCACTTAAATCCTACCATACAGGTCCGTGATCACTCTGAGCCCTGCCATAACACGATGATCTCGGACTGCCAGGCTGATGGAAGGTCATGCTGCGCTAGCACAACGCTGAGATTGCTCCAGGAACACGCCTAACCAAAACCTTGCTTAAATATAAATCAGCTCTACAACCATGGCTTCGAGTCGTTGGGGTGATCACAGAGGTCTGAGTCTTCCTGCTAACAGAATGAAAGCTGTCACAACGTAGCTGAATCTGACCTATTTTCATGTTTTCTATTTTTAACTAGAGCACCAAAAGAACAAGATTCAGAAACACTGTGTGTGTGTGTGTGTGTGTGTGTGTGTGTGTGTGTGTGTGTGTGTGTGTGTGCGTGCGCGCGCGTGCGTGCGTGCGTGTGTGTGTGTGTTTATTTTCAATTGTAGATTCATAGCAAAGCCTCCAAAGAACAAATGACACAGATTTCTGTATGTTCTGCAGCTCGTACCTTCTCAGGAGAAGCTGGGGGGTTGAATCTGCTTGCACACACCAGAAAGGAGTCAGGCTGAGGTTTTCCACTCTTCACCTCAGGATCATCACCCAGAACAATGTGGTCAAACACACCAAAGAAGTCTCTATGTGCGCTTGTCTTCAACTTGAATGTCTCACCAGCGGAGCTGGTTGCTACTGCCATGGGGACACCATGCCTCTTCAGGTGGTTAACCAGTTTCTCCACACCTGGTGGAGATGTTAATGTGTCACTACAGCCAGAAGATTACAAACAGCAAATTAAACATGAAACCCATGATTTGGGCTGAAGAGGGATCACATTTTCTTTCACAGAACACACCAAACTACACGCATTTCCTCAGCATTTGGTAACTGCCTTTAAACTGTATGGCTTGGGTCAAATGTGTTTGGTATCTTTCTAGAAGCTTCTGTAAGTAGTTTGCTTGAATCGTGTCCCCTCCACACAGAACCAGTGTAACTGTGATTTAGAGGAAGCTTCCAGTCACATACGGTTTGTAGGCTGCCTTGCTCCCTCATGTCCTTTCTGCTCTGCCCACAAATGGTCTACGGGTAGGGATCAGGGCTTTGTGATCGAAACTCAATTATTAACTAATTTGGCAATATGTTTTGGGTCATTGGCCATGTGGACCACCCATTCGCATCCCTGCTTTAACTTCCTCTTGCTTGAGTGCTTCCAAGTCATGTTCATTCCTCATGACGCCTTCTATTTTGTGAAGAGCACCAGTCCCTCCTGCAACAAAACACCCGCAGAACTTTTGACTATTTGACTATGGTTGCTGGAGTCTCTAATGCCATGTTTCTGACTATAGAGCTACATGACCAGAGTCGGCTTGTTAGAGGGTGAATCACTGAGAGGACTTGTGTTGACGGTCGTGTCAGAAGACTGCTTCCGTGGCTTTCTGTGGCTTTCAATCGGTTTTGTTACTGACAAATTTTTGTGAGTTTAGAAAAGAAGCAGATGAGACGGTGTGTTCAACAATTTTGTTTTTCATCTGCCACCTACAACTGACTGGAAATTGGTTGTTATTGTTGTTGTTAGCCTCAAGGGCAACATGCCGATTATCACTTTTAAGTCGCTAACCCCCAAATTCCACTACCTCCGCTCCGCTCCGACACGAACGCCGGAGCAAAATCGGTCCCGTTCTAGTTAATCAGAGCAATTCCACTACTGCGGCTGTGCTCCGGCAGTGCGGCGCCGTGCGCCGCCCTCTGTTCCAGCAAAAATAGAATCGATCCTATTTTTGCCGGAGCACCTCCGCAGTAAATGGACAGAAATCACAAACGCCCAACAGGAAAAGGAGCAAGCACAACTTCCGTTTTTCACAATAAATCGATAAGCAAAAGGCGTTTTTTGTTTCATATGCACAGGTTTAACAACTTTTAACAACTATCAGTGGCGGCTGAACTTTAAATGCACAAAAGTAAGCCATAAATACAGTTTCCACTATCAAAGTAGTCACACTTTGTTGATCCAAACACTGCTGATCTCTCAACACAAATGATGGGCAGATTAAACAGTTCATTTCGATGCTTCTCCCACACAACGGGTGTTTGGATCTAACTTCCGCGTTTATTGCTCGGACTGTATCGCAAGATCTCGAAAATCCCGCGCATGCTTGTTTGCCCACCTCAGGTCTCCGCACCGGAGCGGAGCCGTTGTAGAGCGGGTACCAGTAAAAATTGAGTTCGGAAGCGAGCGGCTGCGGAAGGCGGGGGCGGACCGGAGCGGAGCGTAGGTAGTGGAATTTGGGGGTTAGGAGAAAAGCGTCTGCTAAATACTGTAACAGAATGAAATGACTGTTTTTCCCTCCTCTGCACAGGACTAGTCTGCATGAGAAATGGTCTCAAGGTCTCATGCATTCCTTCTAACCTGCTTATTTTCAGCTCAACAGAAGAATGAAGAATGAACTCTTCTTTTAGTTAATCAAAAAACTCAGTTTTAATAAAGCTAATCCAACCAAGTGTTAGTCAATAAATAAGGTGTGACCGATCTGTGAAATCAAAATATTAATTACTCTATTATAATCCTATAGAATATAAAGGTACTTAGACTTTTAATGTTCCAACAGGACTCATTTCACGTAGTGTTAAAAGACATGAAACATTACTTTCGCTGATCCAATCAGAATCTGACAGATCTGACAGAGGCATGGTTTTGATGGTGTTTGGTAAAACCTGTCAACTTTTCATTCGACCATAAACCAAAACATCCAAAGTATAAAACTATGCCCATGTCATCTCTAACGCCAGTTCAAAGCGTTCTAGAGAAAGCTTCGGAGTGGCCAATCCGCAACTCTCCTCTTTAACCAAAAGAACAACGACAAGCTGGAAAATGCGTTTTTGTTCCAACTGCTGCAACGGTTCCTATCCAAATAAAAGCTGAACCATCAAGACCCAGACTCGGGTCTCACCAGATGCCAACAAATTGTCATGACCCGGAAGTATCTCACAGACTGGTCTGGTTGGCAACCGCTGCTTTTCCTACCGGCTCGATTCCAAGAAAGGTCAAGCTGGACCTCGACATTCCTGATCTAACAGGGGCTTCCACCAAGGGTAGGTAGACCGGCAAATGGCGTCGAATGTGTTTATGAACCTCCTAATCAAAGCTTAACGCAAAGACATCACCTTCAGTTCCCATCAGAACTAAACGCTTCTTTGGATTTGCTGGTTCTGAAAACCATCACACGCCATCCATTTACTGTCTTATCCACCTTAATTACACCATACATGTAGTGCTTGAAGTCAGTCTAGTTTAATTTGTTAGTAATAAAATTCTTAACTTTTGAACTCGACTCACTCTCTCTTCTGTTGTCTCTGAGTGAATATGAAGCTGTTATCTAATACCTGCATTAAAAAGATCCAACTTCTGGTTTAAATAACCTCACAGATACGTAAGGTGGATTTAAAATTTCCTATGGAATCCTACGCCTTATGGCTTATTAAATAACATGTAATTTAAATCATTACAATACATAAACATAAACGGAGTGCATGTGGGGTGTGTGGTGGTGCGTTCAAGAGTTGGGGTTGCTAAGCCGTTGCTG